TATAATTTTTTGTGGAGATTCATTCAAATATAAACTAAGATGTTAGAAATATAAAATAACACCCCCTAACAATAACAACTTTTTTTATTAATAATCAACAATAACAACTTATTAATTAGGTAAAAATAAAGAAAATTTTAATAATATATATAGAAATTTCAAAATATTTAATAAAGTACTGACCTCACAATAAATTATAGATGACAGGCGAACGGAAAGGGGTGCTCTAACTTAAGAAATCATTTTTGTTTTCTTTAGCTTGTGATTAAGCAATTAGAGCTGCAAAGGAAAAAGATTATCTGTAAGGTCACTAAAATAAGACGATTCTAGCTTAAAAAAAAAAAAAAGAAGGAAAATAACTTGATTATAATTTACAACAAATAAATCTTTAGATTAATTTAAAGCATTTAGAATCAGTTTTAAAACTTAAAATTCTAAAATAGGCATCTGTAAATTTTGGATCGAAAATAACACTTCTAAAGTTTATACTTTCATATTCAATTATGTTGCTATAGACAAACCATAACAATTAAACTCAATAATAATTCAAAAAAATAAAAATTTAATGCAAGAGAATAAGGAATTGTACCTGCAAGGTTGGGAAAAGGAGGAGACAGTGAACAGTGAAAATCAAATTGGGCTTAAGCGAATGAGAAGTAGGACCAGATCTGATCAGATGAGTTGTGGCAGCAATGGAGGATATGGAGAACTAGAAATAGGCAAGTCAACGATGAAGTCAAGAGGGATTAGTTATTTCTTGGTGGTTGGCAGTTGAAATGATTAATGTGGCAGTTGAAATGATTAATGCAAGCTCCGTTCTTTGTGTGGCCTATATTTTGTCTGGGTCAACCGGTCAAGGTGGACTGTAGATGGCCCAGTGCCTCACACGCCTGATGCCGACTTTTCTCTGTTCACATTGTCGTTTTTTGGGTTATAGTTGTACACGCCATTAAATTTGATTATAAAAATCGTTATTTTTTTTTTTTAACAAATTTGCATAGAAGTTAGAAGGTACTTATAAGTGATTTGGTTTCATTGGACTTGAACCTTAAGTGCTTAAAAATTGTTAAATTTTAATAAAAAATT